GGCTAATCTGTACAGTATCTTCTTTCTCTCATTCACCAAGTGTAGGAGGACGATATTAAGGCAGGAAAAAAAAAGAGAACTGAGGTAAAATGCCCTCCCATTAGCAGACCTGAACTCTGGTATGGAAGAATCCATAAATATAAGTGGTGGAACAGATATCACGGCCTTACCATGGCCATTCTCCACTTTAGGAGGCTGAGGCAAGAAGACGATCCTGCTAACACCTTGGAGAGCATCTGTTGGCATTTGGGTGCCAAGTCTATGATATGTACAGGAATTTAAAATGGGCTTCCCCCACCCACCCACTTTCCTTTTTTAAAAAAGAAATTCAAACCTGGCTCTCCTTAGTTTGGTCCTCGGTGTACATCTTCTCAACCTACTTGTCCCTCACAAAACTGCACTTCATTCCCTCGTCATAAACATAATGTGCAAGGCTAGTGTGCAGAGCTGAGCCCACATTGCAAATCCCAGCACTCTCAGCGAGAATAGCCAGTGACCGCGTTGCTAAGTCCAAAGCAGCAGCTTCTCAAAGCTCCCCCTAATGTGCCTTGTCTGAACTTGCTACCCTTTCCCAGCCTCATGGCTTCCTCTGTGGCAGCTGCTATTCTTAACACAGTCAGGAGTGCCAAGACTGTGCAAGGCTGGTTTTAACTGATTTTATCTGTGGCTGCTACTTAGCATGACGGGTGTGATTATTTTGGTGTTTTAATGACATCCCTTGTGGTATTAAAAAGACAAGGCCAGGCATCTTAAAAGGATGAGATATAAACTTGCATTCAATAAAGTGCTTCATGAGACACTGATTCAGTAGGTGTAGCTTTCAACATCACTGCATTGCCTTGTGAGTAAAGCACTACCCGTGAAATATCTCTGTCAGGCAGCTATAAGAGGGAAAGAGAGAGCCCAAATGATTCTACTCCCAGAGCCCAAAGGCCAAGATGCTGCTGCTGCGTAGCCATGACACTTGCACAAACCAACTAGACCTGCAGTTGAATCTTCCTTTAACAGAGGTGATGAGATAGCATTCTCTACCACAGCGGTTCACAAGCTTGGTCCCCAGATGTTCTTGAACTGAAACTCCTAGAAGCCTTCACCAGGATTTCTGAGAATTGTAGTCCAAGAGCATCTGAAGTTCTTGGGAACCACTTCTCTCCCATATTTGACTTACCATATTTGAAGCAAGTCAGTCTAGATGCCTCTATTCCCCAACAGAGGTGCTTGGTGAGGGAGAGATGCTGGTGACACCTCCCAACACCTGCCACCTGAAGCAGATGCCTCACTTTGCCTTTGGTAGGATCACTCCTGGTGGCAAGTTCCAAACAGCTCCTGTTTCCAAATGTTTAACAAAATACTCTCTGTTCCCATGTAACAAGTTTTTGTTAGGAGACATGCTACACAAAACAAATAACAAATATAACACATAGATAGATAGATAGATAGATAGATAGATAGATAGATAGATAGATAGATAGATAGATAGATAGATAGATAGATAGATAGATAGATAGATAGATAGATAGGTAGATAGGGATATCTATCAAGCTAACTTGTTTGATTGATTGATTGATTGATTGATTGATTGATTGATTGATTGATTGATTGATTGATTGATTGATTCTAGCTAGTTAGGGAGGGAGGGAGGGATATATATATATAGGGATAGTCTTTCTGTAATTGCCTCCAATTAAAAGAGAAAAAGCAAAACGGAAGCTGTATGCACCACCAACAGGATCCATGAAATCATTGGATGGTGGAGGAGGGGAGATCTTAGCCGAAGTTGATGGATTACATATAATTAAGCAGAAGGAGGAAAAAGAGGAGGAAGGGAGCGTCAAAGGATATTACTCTGCCACTCCAGAAATTGTGTCAGAGGGAATATCTAGCCGGTGCCAATGACACTTGTAGAACCCTCGTTAGCCAAGGATATACATATTTTGTGAGCTGCCTTGGGGGATCTCCGGATCTGAAAGACAGGATATTAATTAACTAAGCAGAAGGTGCTGTCTTACACGGAGTCAGACCAATTATTCATATAACCCAAATCTGTCTATGTTGACTGACAGGAGCTCTCCAGGGTTTTGGGCAGAGCTCTTTCCAAGCCTTGCTACCTGAAAACCTTGAGCAGGATGTGCCAGGGATTGGATCTGGCACTTCATCTATGCAAAGCATGAACTTTGCTGGCCCTGAGCCATGCTCTCTTTCTCCTTCTTGTGCTACAATAGGAAAAAGACTGCATTCCCCAGGAACAAAATATTACCCTTGGAGAGCTCTGAACATTGCATGGTCCTTGCTAGTCCTGCTGCCGGCTGCTGCACAGGAAGCAGGAGAACAAAAGCCTATGTGCTACTTTTGCCCAACCCATTGTAGCTGATCAGACGTAGATGGCACCAGCTCTCTCTCATCCACTGAATGGGGTTTACTGTGTAGGACAGCCAGGCAGAAAGCCAAGGAGATGCTCAAAGCTGCCATCACACCTGGCAGTATCTTGCTTTCCATGTTTATTTCCAGAGAAATGAAAACATTGCACAAGTGAACATTCTAATAATGGCAAAACATTGCATCATAGTATTTAAAAGGTTCTTCTGCTACCGTGGCAAGGCTGTGTCTGACGCAGGTGACCCATGAACTTGCTCTATTTTTGGCACTTCTGCCACGTCTCACAAGATAGTTGGCATTGCCACATACTGAACAGATTATTGGATTTCAAGTCCAACTACCCTCTCACCATTAATAATAATCATGTGCTGTCAAGGAAGTGCTGACTTATGGCGACCCTTGTAGCGTTCTCCATTTATTAGATCTATGGTTCTTGTTGCATTATGTAATGGTTTATGAATATTCATATTGCTGAGAGGCGGAGCCAAGAGAGATGCTATAAGAGGTGGAGTCAGAGGGAGTTTTTAGGTCAGATTGAGTAAGTAAGAGAAATGTGAGAGTCAGGCAGTAGAAAAAAGTCAGACAGAATAATATAGTGTGTAGTTTGGGAAATTCTGAGGTGTGATTAGCTACTGAGGATATTTAGGAATTAATCTCTATAATCAATAAACAAAAGTTTTATTTAAAAGAACTTGAAGAGTGGACCTGAATCTTTCTGAAGTACTGGTGATTTAGAGATCGCCTGGTGGCAGCAGTGAAAAGAAGGGATTGTTTTGCCTTTGTGCGCTCTGAGGCTTGATGGTCAAGCAAGGGCACGAGGGTGGACATCACAGCCCTTTTCAGGGTTTTCTAGGTAGATGGTGCTCAGAGGGTGGTTGACCCTTCCCTTCTTCTGGGGGTGCCCTGGGACTGTGCAGCTTGCCCAAGGCCACACAAGGCTGGCTCTTCCCCTAGGTGGTGCAGTGGGGAATCAAAGTCGCAATTTCTGGCTCCACAGTCAGATACCTAACTCACTGATCTATCCAGTCAGCTACACCATTATCTCATTGTTATTAGCTCTTCCAACTAGAGCAGACCTAGGCAAAGTGCAGCCCGAGGGCCACATACGGCCCACGAGCCGCTCCTGCCCGGCCCGCCAGTCATCGCTCCAAGTTCAAGCACTTGTTCAAGCCCAAGACAGACTGGATTTCTCTCACTGAACAAGCTGAACATCAAAACCATTTGTAGCTTTTTGTCTAAAGTTCATCAGTTGCTTATCTTTAACATACCGCAAAAAAACTCTTTAGTATTTGTGAAGATTAACACGTTTAAAATAAAAACAATCATAACATAACTGTTTCATTTTATTTTTAAATAAAGTTGGTTCGGCCCCCGAACACAGTTCAGATTTTTCATGTGGCTCCCTATAGAAATTAATTGCTCATCCCTGAACTAGAGTTAATAATCCAACATTGGTAGGATCACAGTCACTAACTGCTGTTGCATAGAAAGATACGGTGTTGCAACTTTTTTTGCAGACAATAGCCTGTTTCATTAAAAGGTAAAATGGCTGTAGGACTTGTTTTTAGTCTCACATGTAAAAGCGGCTAAAATATTGCAAAGACGGTTCATCAAAAAAATCTGATAGCCAATGCACTGTTTTCACCGCTTACATATTTTAAGTAGAAACAGTAGCAGAGTCCCACCCCACCCCAGACCACCAGTTAATTTTAACCCTGTGTCATCTTTCTCCCATTTTATAATGGCTACCATAGTAGTTCTTCCAAGACATTTATTCAGGTTTACAATGAATTGGTCGGACAACAAAATGGTTGGACAGTGTCATCGAAGCTGGACAACGAAATGGTTGAACAGTGTCATTGAAGCAACATGAATTTGACCAAACTCTGGGAGGCAATGGAAGACAGGAGGGCCTGGCGTGCTCTGGTCCATGGGGTCACAAAGAGTCAGACACGACTTAACGACTAAATAACAACAACAGAATGAACTGGGGCAACACTTGGGTTTGGCGATCCTCAAAGTTACAACATGGCCCTTTGAAAGCATAATTGGTTTCTGAAACATTCTTTTCAATTTACTGACTTTCTGTGTCTGTTTAGGTCACCACTACTGAATGAGAAGAAGATGCTGCCTTCTACTGATTCAGGCCCTTGGTCCGTCTAGCGTACTAATGTCAGCTGAGACTGGCAGAGTCTTGTCCGAGTTTCAGCCAGTCTATTTTTACCCAAGACCTATTTGGAAAGAGAGACTGATGGTCTTTTGCTGAACCCTCATGAGCAGTTTCAGACCACAGTTAGAAATAGAATCATTGACTGACTGAGGGGAACAGAGCACCATTGTTACAACTCAAAATAATTCCCAATCCAACATTGCCATCCTCTTTCAGCAGTTAAGTTCTCCTCTGATAGGGCCAAAGCATTTTTAGTAGTGTCTCTGGCACTATTAAAGCCAGCTAGAAGAGACTTGGCAAGCCCAGTGACTATTTTGCTTGACTGGTTTATATTTATATATCAGATTTTCACAGTGCTCATCTTTTTCTTTTTTTAACTAGCTTGTATATATCTCACAGTACTGTTCTAAGTCATCTAAGACTGTTTTAATGATAAAAGTTGTACAAACATTGATTTAATTTTGTTGCTGTTTCATTGGATGATTTTATTGTTTTACTAAAACCAATAAAAGGACCATTTTAGAAGGAAAGGCACAATATAAATTTCAAAATAAATAAATAAATCGTTTGGCTGAGGTCTTGTACCATACTTAGCATAACTGCTAAAAATGCAGCCTCCTAAGAGGCAAGGCTACTATCCCTCTCCGAAGGACATGATTGAAAAAGGAGGTCACTAAAAATTGCCACATTTAGTCTTTCCTACACAGATCCGGTTGAATTGATGGCTGAAATCCTGTTGCTTAACTGAGTAAGTCACTCCAGAGTAGGCCCACAGAATCAATGGGGATTTGGTGAGTCAACTCAACTGCAAGTTCCATTGATTCAAACGGGCCTAGTCTAGTTGGGAGTTACTCTGCTAAACTGACAGGATTTCAGCAAATGTCTTTTTCAGTGTTTTGTAATTAACATACCCTGCTGCAACGAGGTCCATTTACCTGAACAAACACATGGCTTCTGAGAGACCATCAGAATTTTGTCTTTGTGAGGGGATAATTTGTTTTTACCAAGCTTGGAGAAGGAATTGGGGGAAAGGACGCATGGTTTTCAACCTCTGCTGTTAAGTGATGTTTGCATATTGCATCTTATTTTGCGACAACCCCCACCTTTAGCTGCCAGGAGACAAGGAAGCTGGAAAAAAAACTTGGGACTTGCTAGAGCTGTTTGACAGAAAACATTCCACTTGGACTTACAATCTTTGTGCATTGAGTTCATCCCTGATTTTATCACCAGGGACCATCAGACAGAGAAGGAACAAATCAATAAGGGTTGGTTGGCCTGTCATACAGCCTAACAGTTGGGGACTATGATTGGCAAATGCTGGCGGAGTGCTGTGAACTAGACACAGACGCCATGGTCTGGCAACTCTGCAAAAGAGAGAAAGAGATCCTTTTATAAACCATTCTAGGTGTCTGATGCTCATCAACTGATGCTTTGAACATCTTTTTTAAAAGCCATAGGGCTTGGTAAAATATGTGACCATATTTTCTCTCAAGATATATATATATATACGTACATATATATAAAATATAGAAAGCTATAAATATATACATACATTTGTTGAGAATTAAAAGCACTTCAGTTATTTTTGTAATTCCCAAATATAAAAATTCTCACAGTATTTTCTCCCTCCCCTTTCTAATAGTATCTCATTCCATCTGGCAGGTTCTCTGATTCCACATTCTGTTCTCTGTCACCCACAAGTCCTTCCCCACTTTCCTTTCCCTGATTTATACAGTAGTTGTATCACTGCTCAACAAGCCATTGACAATAGCATCATCTTGGAGTTTCATGTGAGGACCGTTAGCCTGGTCTAGAGTCCCATCATCTTTTGCCACTTGGTCCCGAAGAAGCCTGCAGCGATAGTAGTAAAGGTAACAAGGCAGCAAGAAGCCCACAAAGGATAAGATGAGGAGAGCAAGGTTCACCTGGAAAGAAGGGAAGGAGGATCAGCCATTTGTTATGTACAACCAGTCAAATAAATCTATGTCAGATGTTGGTAAGGAGTGCTTAGAAATGCTGTCCATTTCCTGGCTGCTCCTTGAAGAGGAGGACTGTCCTCACTTTACCAAAGTCCTGCTCCCAAACAAGAAGGTGAAAGTGGAGAATTAAGATATTAACTAATTACACATTATTGAGTTAATTCTGACTTATGGCAAACCTTTCTAGGGTTTCCTAGGTATCGTCATCATCACAATGTGCTACCAAGCCAATTCCAACTTACCCTTCCCAGGGTTTTTCATCATAGCAAATACTCAGAAGTGGTTTGTCATTCTCTTCTTCTGGGGGCATCTTGGGACTGGGCAGCTTGCCCAAGGCCACACAGGCTGGTTCTTCTGGGATGCACAATGGCAAATTAAACTCCCAACCTCTGACTCTGCAGCTAGGTACCTAACTCATCCAGCCAGCTTTCCTAGGTATAGAGTGCTCAAAAGTGGTTTACCATTCCCTTCTTCTGGGGTTGGTCTGCGATCATGCAGCCTGCCCTAGACCACATCGGCTAGCTGTTCTCCTACAAGACACAGTGGAAAATCAAACTCACAACCTCCTACTGCCTCACCAGTAAACCTGCAAAATGTCTGTACTTATAGTTACATAGAGATACATAGCTATTCAGCTACCATCTGCTCCTTTTACAAGACTGCAGTAGCACACTAGGGAAAGGATCAGAACAGAAAGCCAACTATGGTGGGCACCTATTAGCCTGTAGACATGACAGCACCAAAGAACAAAAACAGATAAAACCAACATTTAGTAAATTAATATAAACCTGTCCCACTGTAAAGCTATAAAAAATAAAGTAAAACATTTTAAAAACCATTAAAATTGCAAAGGATGCAGATTAAAAACAACAGGTTAAATATCAAATGCCAGTCTAAAAAGATCTATTTTTACTTCTTCATATTAGTGAAAATGGAAACAGATCTCAACTCAGAAGGGAGTACATTCCATAGTCTAGAAAAAGGCACATGAATCACATTAAACTTCTTACAGAGCCTCATACACAAGGGAAGGGAAAGAAACCTAAGGGCTGACACACCAAGTTGGCATGGGGAGTGACCAGTCAGTCCAGCAGTAAATTTGCTGACATGTATGTCTGTAAACCCAATTTATGAACCTGGATTAACAGCACAAGAATAAAATGCCTTGTCAACGCTCTTAAAAAGAACATCTGCCTTTCCACAGATGAGCCACAACTTACCCAGAAGGGATCACCATGCATTGGCCCCACCATAGCCATGAAGAGTGGCTGCTGCAGGAGAGCAAATACAGCACTGATCAATGACTGCAGACCCGTCAATGTGCCAAAATGGTTGGATGGATACCTAGCAATAAGAAATTGCATATTGCGAGTAACGGCTCAAGACATCAGAGAGGTTAGCAATTCTCTGCCACAGCCAATACTCAGGCTTAAGAGTGAAAGTAAGGCTCGGTCATTCCAAATATACCAAATCTATCAATATTTCAAAACCGTAAAAAATGAAAAATGTAAGCAATGTAAGCAACTCAGATGGAAAGGATGTGCAAGGAAACTATGTTGGTAGCAAGATGAGCAACAGCTCCCACTGAAAAATAGGAAGAGTTACTTTTGATTAGGATGACTCTGTTCAATTGTGGTGGTTCTGGAGACAACTAAAACTATTCTTATTATTGAAGCTCTTTCGAAATGTATGAATTTTGTGAAGTTCCCACTAAATAACCAAACAAACCTTTTCCCCCACTTTACTCATGATCACAGTTCATTCCCCCTGCTCCTCCCTCCTCTCCCCTCTCCTCTGCTAGGGAAGATTAATGGGCACCACAGAGATGAACCAAGATATTTAAGAGAAGGAGGAAGCTGACCAACAGTGGCTCCTTCCTCGTTCATATGTGTGCAATACCTTCCAACTTTCTTTGCCTGTCACTAGGAAACACAGTGTTGGGAACAGGACCTCAGAGCTGTTTTTCATACCATCGCAGCATAACATTTTTGGATGGCAGCCAAAACTGCCACAATATGTGTGATAAACATGCATACTTGAAGCAATGCACATAATTCTTCTACAACCACGCATAATTCTCTCATTCATTTCCATGACTGCTATCTTGCTCGACTGTTCCAAAAACAGAAGATGCTACTAAGAAGGAAAAAAAAAGCAGGAACTCTTTTTCCTCCCTCTTGTCCCTTCTAACATCAGTTGCAACTTTCCCATCTCATTGCCTTGAGCTCTGGTAGGAGGAAACTGAATCAAGCCAAAACCAGGATGCATCCCAGTTAGAAGGTGCTCAGAGTCAGATGGAAAGAAGAAAGTGAATCTTCTGTACTGAGGCCCTGAAGTGTCCCCATTCTTGGCACCAGAAGGACCACAGACCAAGGATAAGTCCCATAGGCCCTCTAGAAGCTGAAGAACTCCACTTACCATCACACCTCATCACTGGTCCGGTACTAGCTAGGGCTTTTGGGATTTGGGTGCTCAACAGCACTGGGAAAGCCACAAGTTCCCCAGTCCTGTTCCCTACACAGAAGCGAGTGGGGCTATGAGATTCCACCCAGTGGCATAGACTCACACGGCAGCATAGAGGCCTCCACAGGCTGAATGGAAGAAGCCACGCACCATGGTGTGAAAGATGAAGGTCACAAACTGTGGGGGGAAAAGGGGTGGGGGAGAAACAAAGAGAGAAGTAGACTCCCATCATTAAAAGAAGAGTAGCATCAGGAAAGCTGTGACAGGGTAATGGGGGCAAGAGAAACAGCACTAAAGCAGCACTGTAAGAGGGACCACCCTAAGGGGGCCACTGTAAAAGGGACACCCTATACCAAGAGGGACCAGTGGGTGACTGTAAGAGGGACACCCTATACCAAGACGTGTCATGGGTGAATGAGCAGCAGGGCAGCAGTTACCTGCAGGTGGAGGTTGTTGATCAGGCAAGTGACACCAAACCCCACCAGCAGCAGATTGGTGATGACAAAGGCACGGATAGCATTGGTGATCTTCTGGATCTTTCGGTAACGAATTTTGGATGGTTTTCCTTTCTCCTCAGTCCTAGGAGGGGAAGGGAAATGGTCAGGACATTGGCTGCACCAGCATCTCCAAACCAAAGCATTAGCACCCAGCTATTCATTCAACAGATGTTGTTTTTGGAAACCATGAACATCTTACCTAGCAGATCCAGTACGGCCCACATCTCCTGGCCCATCCACACAATCCTTGATGCGCCAGTCCATCACATAGCCAATGAAGGGACAGGTGAGAAGGCACAGTAACTGCATGACACCAAAGATGGAGGAGTAGAAGTTGACTGTCCAGCAAAAAGAAAGGGGAGGGAATGAGGAACAGCCTAAAGGTCCCCATCTTTAAAGCTAGCCAGGACCAGCCAACTGGCCCAAAGGAATCCTTATGTTCTACTGAGGACTCTTTGGTTGGAGGTACATAAACACAAAGGCCAGAATCCTACTGAGGAAACCATGTGTGCAAGGGAATTCATAAAAATGACTTTCCCCTTTTGCACACCACACTTTATGTTGCTGAGCACTCAATCATTATCTTAGCCAAAGGATGAGAGGAGGAGCCAAAAAGATAAAATCACTCACATAATTATCCTTACATGGTTGCATAAGGCAATAGGATTCATTTCACAGCAACCAATACTAATGAAATGAACCAAGGAACTAAGAGAACACTTTCCTTCGGACTCACCCACTTAAGACCACGGCACAGGGGAGAATGCGTGACCAATCCAGCCTGGAACAGTCTTTCTCAACCTGGTGCCTTCCAGATATGCTGGAGAAAAGCTGTAACACCAGTTGTGGGACAAGTAGTCACAACACATCTGGAGGGCAACAGGTCAGGAAAAACTGGCCTAGGCCCTTTAGGTGGGTCCTTACAATTTCATTTTTACATCTTTGTCCCTGTTTCTTATTCCACGTATGTCTGCTAGTCTGGTCTGAGTTGGCATGCCCTCCCTCTTCCCAGCCTGACCCAGATACATATTCCTAGCTCCTCCACTGCCTAGTATTTTATTTGACAAAACACAGAAAACCAGAGATTCTCTCCATGAGAGAGAATACATGGCTCCGTTTCCACCCTCTCCACTTTGCAGGATCTCTGTTATCAGATAAATTGTATGGAGGGACTGGCAGTGATTATATTCCTTAAGCACCCAGATGCCACCACCATGGAAAACTTTCCACTTGATTCAATAAAGTGATCCAGTCACCTCCGAATACCTTCTTCAATGTGCAGATGAGGGCTTTGATCTTAGAACAGGGGCTGAACTTTTGGAAGCAGGCACAGGAGAAAATGTGCATCGAGATGTTGTTGGCTAGCAAGTCCCATCATTCCTCACTATTGACTAAGCTAAGACTGATGAGAATGGCAGTCCAGCATCTGGAGGGCCACACACTTGCCAGTCCTGGTTCAAAAGGAGAGGTTGATTTTTTTTCCTAGGCCTTGTTAACTAGGAAATGGATGTTCCCAACTTAACGCCAATGCACATCTGTAAGACCTCTTACAGATGGGCATATTATCATATATATACTCTTTGGAGGGTTACATCATGTATAATTCATTGCCATTCCTACCTGTTTCCTCAGGTGTGTTCTTCAGTTCTCCTGGTACTGGAATGCCCAATAAAAAGAGAAGAAAAATAAGACTACAATAATGGGACCAGGGCCATCTGCCCACATACAGATTCATCCATCTAGCTACTGTATATATTAATTCCTCAGATCACTCTGCACCAAAAGTTTACCTCTTCCAGTTTCCTACATCACACGCTCCCTCTCCCACTCCACTTTTCTCTTTATCTTTCACGCTGCCATTCACCGTCCCCTGGGGCTGCTGGAACCTCCTTCTCCTCCTTCCCCCTGCAGTTCTCACCAGGGTCCTTGCCACCTGTCACCTGGAACTCCAGCATCTTGTTCATGGCTGCCATGTAGAAGATGATGCGCAGCTGGGTCATGCCCATAGTGAGGAGGCTCCACAGAAAGATGGGGGAGCAGACACTGCGACGGAAGGGAATGTGGCCTGTAGTCACAAGAAAGAGCAAAGATAGCTGCTGTGGGGCTGGAGCCAAAGGAAACAATCCCATGGGTCCAGCAAATATAGAAACAAAAAAATCCTTCATCTGTTTGTTGAGCACACAAGGGAGGAAGTGGCACTATGCCTCACAAAACCACGCAAGGCGCATCCACTTTAAATGCGAGTCCAATGGAGTGGCCCTAGTCCCCTCTCCTGCTTCCATGTGCGCAAACCCAAGCTATTTTTGCAGTTCTTGTGGGCTCCAGTCTCCCACAAACACCCCTAGTTTACCTTAAAAATGGAAACACTTGCTCAAAATGGCCCCTTGTGCCTTATATAAGAAGTTGGGGGGGGGATTTTGCTGTGTTTCCAGGGGTCCTGGAACTACCGCAGCTGGAACACACCTAGGAACTACCATAACTCCTGCCAAAATACTGTATTTTTTAAAAAAAACAGATTGCCACTAGAAGGTATGAGGAGCCTTTTTCAGTTCATGAAGCCCTTTAAAAAACCCTTTTTTAAGCTAGCAAAACCTGTTGCAGCAACCCTAACTGTACATAAGCACTCCATTCAATTTAAGATAAAAATAAACATGCAAATTAGTGCCTTTAGCCCTGCCCGCAAGGGAACGCATGGCCCTCAGACTGCTAGCAAACCTGAAAAGAGACCTTGGGGTTCCTTAAGGGAACAACTCAGCATTCACATGCCTGCAAGTACCACAAGGTTATTTATGTAGGTGACTAGAAGCAGAAATGGGTCTCATTCCTATTCGTACAGGTGAACAAGATTAAATTCTTGGCCCTCCTGTCACTCTAACTCCCCCCCTTCCTATTATCGAAGCAAAGAAAGCCATTGCCTTAAGCAGACAAAATAATGTTATTCCTAGAGATGGGGGCATTTGTATTTGTATAGGAATACAAATATCCTTGCACAGCTGGACTTAACGAGGGTCTGGCCCCTGGGGCTGGGCCATCCTCTCATGTATCTGGCAGCGGCAGCAGCCTCGGTCAGCCTTCCGATCGCTCCCGGAGCGCCGCTCTCTTTCCGCTCATCCAGCCACTCGGCAGCTATGCAGGGGGACTCGTCCTCCCTCCCCCTGGCTGGAGTTGGCTAGATCAGTGGAAAGAAAGCGGCGCTCCAGGAGCGATCAGAAAGCTGACCGAAGCTGCTGCCACTGCCAGATACATGAGTGGATGGACCCTCGTTAAGACTGTTCATAATCGTATATAGGAATGCAAGTACTGTAGTTATTCTTGTTGCCACAAGAAAAGTGCAAGTGCTCTCCGCTGCCTACAGAGGGAGCCAGATGTAGGGCTTGCACCCAGCTGGGGCAGGAAGCTGCTGCCGGCAACAAAACCAAGGCCTTGCAGGAAAACAGCTGTCAGGTCAGCTGGGGCAGGAAGCTGCTGCCAGCAACAAAACCTGACATAACAGGCCCAAGGCCTTGCAGGAAAACAGCTGTCAGGGACAGAAACCAGTGCCAGACAAAGAAACTATAGCCAATTCCCCAGCCCCTACCCCTGGGAGCCTGGGGCCCTCCAGAACACTGTAGGCCATGCAAACATCTGAGACAGCCTTGGAACAGCAGGCTGGTGCTAATTCCAGCTGCAGGCTTAGGTCACCAGGGAAGATGTTCTCTTGTGCTCTGCTTGAGCAGTACAGAGGGTGACACAACTAGGGACACTCACGCTGGGAGAGATCGGTGGAAAGGTCCTGTACTGATGGGTTGAGCTCCTCCTTGGCGCCATCTAGTTGTGGGGCCCTCTGGCTCAGTCGCTGACCCACAGCAGTCACATGGATGTAGAAACGGTCACCTGTCACCTTGTGATCGAGGGCTAGGCTGCTCAGCTTGATCTTCTTCCTGTTTCAGGGGTCATGGGGGGATTACACTGCACCAGTCACCTCCATGCCTGGCATCATTACATGCCTGGAAAAACCAGGGCTTTTGCAACAGCAGCAGATTTTAAAACAAGGTTCTCCCCCTCCCTCTCCCAGCCCCCTTGGTGCAGGTGTTTCTGCTGCCTTGTTGTTAACCTGAGGTGAATAAAAGACAATAGAGCCTGAAGTGAGCCTGTTGAGACCTAAGGATATGGACAGGGTGCTTGGATTTGTCCATTCTACCACCACTCTGTTCGACCCTTGCCCATCTTGGCTAACCAGAAGATCTGCCGGGTGGGGGTTCGCACCTGGGCTAAGGAGGCTGTGAACACCTCTTTGAGAGAGGGAGTGATCCCTACTGCCTTGAGGTAAAGGTAAAGGTTCCCCTTGACAATTTGTCCAGTCATGTCCGACTCTAGGTTGCGGTGCTCATCCCCGTTTCCAAGCTGTAGAGCTACCGCTTAAGACAATCTTCCGTGGTCATGTGGCCAGCACTAGACACAGAACGCCACTACCTTCCTACCGTGGTGGTACCTATTTATCTACTTGCATTTTTGCATTTTGCATGCTTGTGAACCGCTAGTTTAGCGGGAGTTGGGGCAAGCGACGGGGGCTCACTCCATCACGTGAATTCAATCTTACAAATGCAGCACAGAGGCTTCTGCGGTTTAACCTGCAGCACCACCATGTCTCTGCCTTGAAAGAGCAGGTTGTGGCCGGGCAACTCCAGGCACTGCTGGATGAAATAGATTTTCTGGATCCATTTCAATCAGGTTTCAGGCCGGGTTTTGGTATGGAGACTGCCTTGGTCGCTCCATATGATGACTTTTGCCAGGAGAGAGACAGGGGGAGTGTGACCCTGTTGATACTCCTGGACCTCTCAGTGGCTTTTGACACCATCGACCATGGTGTCCTTCTGGATAGATTAGCTGGGTTGGGAGTTGGGGGCACCGCTTTATGGTGGTTCTGCTCCTTTCTGGCTGACCATGTACAGAAGATGGTGCTGGGGGACAGTTGTTCTGTCCCATGGCGTTTATGTCATGGGGTTCCTCACGGCTCAGTACTGCCCCCCATGCTGTTTAACATCTACATTGAACCACTGGAAGAGGTCATCAGGAGGTTTGAGCTGAGGAGTCAGCAATATGCTGACAACACTCAGCTCTACCTCTTGTTCTCCACCAATCCAGGTGAGGCGGTTTCTATGGTGAACTCCATCTGATAATGGACTGGTTGAGAGTTAATAAATTGAAACTCAATCCAGACAAGACGGAAGTGCTGTTAGTGGGTGCTTCACCAGACAGGCTAGAAGGCCATTTCCCTGCCTTGAATGGGGTTACACTCCCCCTAAGGGACAGGGTCCACAGCTTGGGGGTGCTCCTGGACCCCAGTCTAACTTTGGAAGCCCAGGTGGACTTGGTGGCCAGAGGTGCCTTCCTTCAGCTTCGGAAATTATACCAGCTACGGCCCTACCTGGATGAGTGGGGTCTCATGACAGTTACACATGCACTGGTAACATCCCGTATAGATTACTGTAATGCGCTGTACGTGGGGCTGCCTTTGAAGACAGTCCAGCAACTGCAAATGGTTCAGAATCAAGCTGTGCTAGGGAACACATCAAGCCAATTCTGTTTAAGTTACATTGGCTACCAGTCGCTGCCCAAGCCCAATTCAAAGTGCTTGTTTTGACGTATAAAGCCCTAAATGGCTTGGGCCCTGGATACCTAAAGGACCAGCTCTTTCCATATGAACCTACCCAGCAGTTAAGATCTAGCCAGGGGTTCCCTTTTGAAAGAGCTGTCCCTCAAGGAGGTAGGAGGGATGGCTTGTAGACAAAGAGCCTTTTCGGCAACTGCCCTCAGACTATGGAATGCTCTCCCGAGTCAGATTCGTCTGGCACCGACACTGATGACATTTCAGTGCCAGGTCAAAACCTTCCTGTTTCAGAAGGTTTTTAATTGAAATAATGTCAACTGTGTGTCCTGATGGCAATTTTTAGATAACTGTATTTTTAATTGTATTTAAATCATTCTATCCTTTTATCTTTTTACTGTATTTAAATTGTTGTAAGCCACCCAAAGACCTTTGGGTAGTGTGGGTGGCATATAAATTAAATAAATAATAATAATAAATACATTTTAAAAGTGGAGAATGGGAGATGTGCTGGGGAACCGCCCAATGGGCCAAAGTCTTATTGCTCAGATTTGTGTCGCAAAACCTGGGGACTATTCAGAGTGGAAACAGGTGTGTTAATTTATGCAGAACTTAGAAAAGTTATTTTTTTTGGTGTATAATTCCCAGTCTCCGCATCCTACTAGCAGGGGGATTGTGGAAAGTGACATGTACTCAAACAGGAATTTTTGCAAGTTCTCATTTTAAGTGCAGTGGAAATGCCCTTCTCCCCACCCCCCTCCCCCAAAAAGAGAGAGGAGAGGAGAAGAGACTGCACTGGGATAGATATCAATACATGGTGTCTTTGGGAAGTTGTCAGGGATCAATGCTGGCTGCCATCCCACTACTCCTTAATAAAATTTATAGCCTTGCCACTCCAGGCAGCAGCATGTCAGTTAAGTCTCCCACAGTGCTCCTGGGACTAGGGGACTTCTGGAAAATCACCCTAGGGGACTTCTGGGAAATCAAGAGTGCCTAGACACAGGTGGTGGGTGTTGCTACCACATAAACCTGCTAGGGCCCACTAGAAAGGAACACTTCCCATTCTAGATGCTTTCTCCAGGGCTTCCTCAAAAATGGAATTTGACCAGCTAGATGTACAAGTACTGTGTCTTGAACACAGAGCTGTAGAACTTCCTTTTTGGAACTTCAACTCCCAGAATTCGGTGGCCAGTATGGCCACCCAAAACTTAATTTCACCAAACTTGGGTTCAATCTCCCTCTGCCGCAATTGGATGCTCTCTCTAACTTTAACCAACTAATCAAAATAATCTACCCCATCTGATACAATATTGCCCTGCATATGTGTTGTGTCTTTCAGTTTGGGTTACAAGATACTAGAAGGACAAGAATGTTCCATGTGCGGTACAGGTAAAGCCAATGCACACAAACTGAGATACTGGTGGGAAGAGGGATTTGAAAAGGCGGCTCCGTAGTACATCACACTGCCATTTCAATATTCCTTTTGGGCACCAACGTGGAGAAGGATGTCCCCTGAGGGATGGGAAAACTCAAGTAACTCCATACTTGACTCAGGACAGGGTGTCTTCTAACAGCCTTTCCACCATACATCAGCATAAGGAACTGGAATAGCTGTCCTTAAATGGGACCAAGCTGTCCTGCAACTCCTACTTACGTGTAAGTGGCTTCCTCAGGAGCTGGGAAGGATTCTTTTGGCCAGTTAATCAAGCAGTTGAGAAAGATGAGGCAAGCCAAACCTGACCAGATGAGCATGATGATGAGGAAGGAAACTCCTGCATCATAGATCAGCTAACAGCAATGAGGGAGAAAGCAGAAGTGAAGATATGGAACATTAGAAAGGCAGACAGCTTAGGACTTCCCACCAAAGCAGCAAGGGGGTAGCATGGGGAGTTCTTGAGAAGAAGGGAAAGACATACATTCTGCCAGAACAGAAGAATGTACGACATATTGCTACCCCTTCACACAAGACATGAAAGCAGAGGACACACAACTCACTCTCCCTTTCCTTTCATGGCAGTAGAATATCCAAAGCTACAAGGATCTTAGCAGCCTCCCCCAGTTCATGCTTCCTTTCCCTAGTCTGATGGAGAAAGTCTCCTCTTTACCAATGGTAATACTGTCAGTCAGATAAGAAGCACTCAAACATATACCCATGGTTCCCTAGTGGGGATGACCACCAGGAAAATGGGATGATTTTGACTTGGTCCTGTTTAGCAACATACCTTGACACCAGGAAATGTAACAGCCGAAGAAGCATACGAGCCAATCATAAGCGCCATGAAGGTTGAGCGTAGGTTCCCAAACATGTTTGGCAGCTGGAAAGACAAGAAAAGGGAAATCTTTTAGTAGAAATATCCTATTTCTAGCCCTCTAACATGCCTCTTTTTTCTTTTTCTTTTTTACATGTGCTGAAATCCTTTATTTTAAAGAAAATTCTTAATTCCAGAACTTCACAGAACTTCACATTCTGTTTTTGAGCTTCCCATGATTATCTGGTTGACCACTGTCAGATCAGACTGCCAGAAGTAACTGTTGTTTGACCTGATCCAGCCTGGCGCTTTCTATGTCCCTCTTTCATAGCTTCACAGGCCCTAATGGATATCAGACTCTATGGGCCCCCAAAGGTTGGGAGTCCACATCTTCTCTCCTCTCCTCTGACTATCCTCTGCATCTTTCAAAACAAATTCTTCTTTGCCATGAAAGACACATATTCAAGTAGAAAGGACCACTGCTTAATTACCCAATATTCTTTGCAGCAGAGTTCTATAAAGAGACGGAAGCCATACTCAATTCACTGGAGCTTACTCTTGCAGAAATGTGTATGACATTGCAAGCTCAAACATGTTCAATTCAGCAGTCAAAATGTGTGATTTATTTCTTGTTTTTTCCCCCTGTTTGTATAGCCAGTGTTCAGAGGAAATGAATAAATATGAGCAAGTGCCACTAGAAACATAGGGAAGGTTTGTTACTCCAGTAGTAAAAATCTTTGACCCACTGGATGTCATTCCACCCAATTTCCACCAAGCTAAATCAGCATAGCGATTGCTCAATACTCATGAGGAGTAGAGCACAACGTTTTATAAAGATTTATATACAAGCAAAAATCTCTCTTTAGAAAAGATTGAAGAATATTCGGAAAAGAATTTTTTAAAAGTATTAACTGAAGAGGATAGGGAAACAATGGAGAGAACAGTCATGGAGGAAGAGATAGAAGTTATAATAAATAAGTTAAAAGTAGGGAAGACACCTGGCAGAGATGGACTAGGCCCAGAATATTAACCTTCAAAAAAATTCTTATCCCAAAATTAAAAGATTTATACAATGGTATATTAAATGGAGAAGAAATTCCCCAATCTTGGAAAGAATCAATAATAGTTTTAATTTTAAAACCAGATAAAAAACCTATAAATATGAAGTCATGGGCCATTTTCACTGATAAATCAAGATGCTAAAATATTTACAGCAATTCTGGCAGCAAGGCTAAATTTTATAGGGAATTACATTGAGAAATATCAAAATGAATTCATATAAGGCAGACAGATGTCAGATACAATAAGGAAGAAGCTTAACTTAATGCACTTGGCAAAAGAATCAAAGTCTAAGGCAGGTTTGATATCCCTAGATATTTTCAAAGCTTTTGATTCAGTTGAATGGGACACATTAAAAATATTGCTTAAACAGATAGGATTTGGTACTCAATTTAGACAAATAATTCAACAACTATATTCACAGACCACTGCAAAAATAATAACAATGGCAAAACAGAATCAATATGCTTAGGCTGAGGAACGAGACAACGTTGCCCCTTATCTCCAATTTTATTTACATTGATAATAGAAGTGCTGGCACAAGTGATCAGAAATGATAGTTTAATTAAAGGTGTAGATACTAGAGAGGAGGATAAAATAAATCTCTTTGCAGATGATACAATATTAATAATTAAAAACCCAAAAGAAACATTGCAGAAAATTAGGACACATTTAAATCTTTTTGAATAAATAACTAGTTTGAAAGTAAATTGGGAGAAATCTGAACACATTCTATTAAATCATTCAGAACTAGATGAGAAGGAACTGAAAAAAGAATTGAAGAACTAAAAGTATAATTAAATATTTAGGAATTTATATTACATGGAATTTACAAGAAATTATTAAATTAAATTTGGATAAATTGAAAAAAGAAATTAATAAACAGATAAATCAATAGCAAAAATTAAAATTGTTATGGTTTGGAAGAATAGCATTATGTAAAATGAAGATTATTCCTAAACTTAATTTTGCATTTTGGATGCTCCCAACAAAGATCAGAGAAAAATATCTGAAAGATTGGCAGATGTTGATAAATAACTATTGTGCCAGAAACAAACAAACAAGGATCAATAAGAAAATGTGATATATTTCATGAAAAGAAGGAGGGCTTGGATTACCAAATGTTAAAATGTATTACATCACAAACCAGCTTAGACATATTCCGGATATTATTGCACATACTAGAAACTTAATATGGAGGGAAATGGAAATGTCCAAACATTCTAATAGACTGGAGGATTTCTTCTTTAAAGAAAAATTGTAGAAGAAATAAAGAGAACAACTAATCCCTTTCTGATGAACATGCTGGGAAGAATATAGATATACTGTATATTAGTCCACCTATTTCACCATTACAACAAGTAGTGGAGACAAGAGTTTCCCAAAAACTCTTAAAATTAAGCTTTAAGTACTAACAGAGAAAGGGATAAATACAATAAGGATTTGGATGAAAAAGATGAAAGATAAAAATACTATAAAGGAAATTTTGGAGGAATAAGAGGGGATATCTTGTCTAATATACTCCAAATGGAAAGTTGGGCAAGAGAGTGGACTAGAAAAGTAGGAGAAATTAAAAAACTGACAAAATTTGAGGAGATCATTGAGCAAAGACAAGTTCAAGAGGAAGGAGTCAAAAGAAAAGGCACAGTTACTGTAATTTGTAAGATTTTAACTCATGTTGGATCTGAAAAGGCTATGATGGAAAACCAGTGGCAAGAAGACTTAGAGGAAGAGGCCAAAGATGAGGATTGGAACAAAATATGGTCACAAAGAATAATGAAGAATATGTCTATAAGGGTAAAAGAAAATTGTTATACGGTTGTATGGAGATGGTACTTTACCCTAGTAAGATTGAATATAATAAATAAAAATGTACCTGGAGATGTAAAAAGGAACCTATATGCATATGTGGTGGACTTGTGAAATAAGAAAGAAAGAATTGGCACTGATTTTGAAAGAAATTAGAGAAATTATTGGACATAATATTCATTTGTCACCAATTATTGCCCTCCTAAATATAATTAACAATGACCATCTTAAAAAAGAACAGAAAGAGTTCATAATTATAATGGTCACAGTAGCAAGTTTAATATTTGCAAAGAATTGGAAAAGTGACAAACAAATTAATCTTGAAGGCTGGTATAAAGAAATGTGGAGTTTAGCAATTAATTATAAGCTAACATGAAATGAAAGTAAGAAGGGGAATGATAAAAGTATAATGATTTTAAAGAGGTATGGAATTTATATTTGGAGTATGTCTTTGTGAAAAGGAAAGGCCATAAGCCAGCAGAAGAATCATTGTATTTCTGGAGTGGAATGGGGTAAAAAGTATTAAAATGATAATTTTGGTTATCTAGTCCTGACGGTGAGGGTGGGACAGCTGGGGAATTCTAGTTGTATTGTATATGTACACACATTTTATGTTAGTTGTTTTAATTATTTTTTAAGAAAGAAATAAAAATAAAAAGGAGTGAAGAACAATAACATCTGGCATTTCCTGCCCCGCACCTCCACTAGTGTTAATCCATGGCCTAAAAACAAAAAAGATCTGACCATTTCCCAAGAGCACAGAGGCAATTATTGCCACTTTCTAATGCCTAATGATCAAGTTCCAGTTAAAATCACAAGAACAGATCCTGACCCGTCATATTCTCTCAGCTTGACCTAACTCACAGGGTTCTTGTGAGGACAAAGTGGGGAGGAGGAAGGCCCACATACACTGCCTTGAGTTCATGGGAGGAAAGACAGGATATAGTTTCCAAACCTCCCAAGGTGCTACTCCCCCTCTGTTCAGCACTGGTTAGGCCTCACCTTGAATACTGTGTCCAGTTCTTGACACCACACTTCAAGAAGGATGCTAACAAATTGGAACAAGTTCAGAGGAGGGCGACAAGGATGATCAAGGGGCTGGAAACCAAGCCTTATGAGGAAGGCTGAAAGAACTGGGCATGTTTAGCCTTGAGAAAAGAAGACTGAGGAGCGACATGATAACACTTTTCAAATACCTGAAAGGCTGACATACAGAGGAGGGGAAACATCTGTTCTCGATCATCTCAGAGTGCAGGACACGCACCAATGAGCTCAAGGTAAAGGAAGCCAGGTTTATGTTGAATATCAGAAAAAACTTCCTAACTGTTAGAGCAGTACGACAGTGGAACCAGTTACCTCGAGAGGTGGTAAGTGCTCTAACACTGGAGGCATTCAAGAAAAACTTAGCTAATCACCTGGCACATATGCTTTGATTTGTATTCCTACATTGAGCAAGGGTTGGACTTGATAGCCTTATAGGCCCCTTCCAACTTCACTTTCTATGATAAAAATAATTGATTTGTTGTAAGCCGCCCCGAGTAGACATGGTCTAGAGGGGCGGGGTATAAATTTAATAAATAAATAATAAATAAAAGCCTTCGCAAATACAAACAAATAAAAGGCTGATAGCCACAAATACATCCAAATGCTTTCTATTTGTAAAGAGAATTCATGTGCTGTGAAGGCTTAGGATTCATAAGTGTGTGTGTGGTTAGAAAGAATGCAGAGTGGAGGTTGGGGCCTCCATCATCATCGTTGTCATCATCACTACAACTACTAACTATTTGAAGGAGAAAATTCCATTTAATGTGTTGATTTCAGGATCAGGACCTTCAGGACTGTATACAAATATGCGGGTAAACAGCTATAAGGACCAGGGAGTATATGCAGCCTGAAAATGTCAGGGATTCTATTAGGAAAGTCAGGAAGCAATACATGTGCTCCACGATTCAAATCTTGCCCTTCCGATTTCAAGTAAGTCTACTTAGAACTGGACTGAGCATTCAAATTCCACTGGAACTGCCCTGAGATATGGCATGGTGCCAGAGGAGTTGTTTGCTTGGGTAAACAGCAGACGGCAGGGTGGCTCTACCAGATTTCACTTCTTTGACATATGTACTTTCTGAAGTCAAAGGAACAGAGAGGTGTGGCACTCTACTCTGCCTCTTCATTGGCTGGCTACTATCTATCTGCCACATGTACGTTTACCCTATGGGTGCTGTGCCTCCCGATTCAAAAAGCCACTATGTCCTTAGAGTAAAAGAAGCACAATTCCCCATGTGTTTTGGAAATGAGTAAGGTTTCTCCCTGTCCCCACAATAAAAGACTAAGCACTCAGCCAATTTTCTGGCAACATAATCTTCATCTAACCCTTTTCTATCAACATGGATAGAGTTGGCATGCCTGGCATGTAGTGATCTGAAAACACAGGCTTTGTGTGTGCCAGGTGGGGTGACCTCAGTGCAGAAGGGCAAGGCTCTTGCGTGTCTCCAAGCTGTGCATATGGATCCCCCTGTTTCTACAGCTTATCTCAGTTCCAGACAATGAGATGTAAGAATGGGCTGAAGCTCGCTCTTTAATTCAATTATTAAAGGCAGATTTTGCTTTTGGTCATCCTAGCCTGGTCATGATGCTACCCAAACAATTCTGTCCTTGACACAGGGCACTTCCAGGAATTTCATGCAAGCAGAAAAGAATGGCATGCACACCCCTCCCAAAAGTGCACAGGACACGCACAAATATACTCAAGTATGTTAAGCAGGCATGTGGACAGGTGAGTGCTCACTCTCACACACGTACATGTCCAAAGTATTCCTGAACCAGCAGAGGTCACACTTTTTTTTTACACAAACATGCCCTAAACTTGCAAAGAAGACATATGCTCGAAGAAGAAAAATGTTAAAACTTGTACAGCTGAATTCCCCCACACTGTTTTGCACTAATTTAATTGCTACACTTTATCAGACTAGATTGTTTTCAAATTAACTTGCATCTACAGATCAATGCATTCTCAGTAAATTGCTCAAATTAAACGAGTATAGAGAAACTCTCACAGCAGATAACAGAACTAGTAGGGCTGAGAGATTCAATGAAGTTAGGAAGTAGAGAAGGCCCCTGGGCTTTTAATTGTGATCTCAAATGGAGACCTGCTTGTTCATGCTTCATCCCTTTTATTTTATTTATTTATTTGTGCATATGATTTATATTCTGCCTTTGTCCCAATCCTGGAACCTAAAACAACTCACAATAAAATTATACCAGACATAATAAAAAGAGATTAAAAACAATCAAAGTTAAAAACACAGAGAAGGTTATCACATTATTAAAAGACAAGCTAACAACACCCATCAATTACAGTGGCAGATCATCTCCCCCCTTATCACAACAATACACCGATAACAAAATACACGGTGATCATCATAATCACCCAATCTCCTGAAAAGGACAAAAGCTGATCCCACAGCTATAAATACTCAACTATCAAAAAAACTGCACCACAGCACAGAGTTCTGACTCCTGTCCTCTGAAGATGCCGGCCACAGAGACTGACGAAACGTTAGGAAGAACAACCTTCAGAACACGGCCAAAGAGCCCGCAAAACCCACAACAACCATCATAAACACAGCACTCCATGGCATTAAAATGTAGAATAAATGCACAGATCCTCATAGATTCTCATTCTTTACAGGCAGGCATCTAAAATCCACGATCATGCCCAAATAAAGCTATGGTGGGCAGGGCAAGGCCCTTCAGCCTTCTTCCAGGACCTGCACTTAAGTTCTGGGTTTTTGTACCAGGGCTGCTCTCTAAAGCACAAAACCTGGGTGGTGAGGTCTGTGCTGATGAACATATGCACTCAATCTAATGAGATAACAGTTCAGAGTTTACTTCCATAATGAGTATTTCTGCCTCAGTAATAGGATTCTGAACCATTGCTGGTGCCAAGATCTATTGCTGGATCTATTACAGAGCAATCATGAACACTGATGTGAACTGATGTCTTGATAGGGGATTTACTGAATGGCTCAGGATTTTTTGTGTGGTGGATTTATAGGCCCCTTCCAAATCCATTCATCCATGAAAACAAAAAGGAGGTGAACACCAAAGTACTGCTACAGTGTCTTAAACACTCAGCAGCCACACCCAACCAGGGCAAAATTTTGCAGCAATTTTTCTTGCACAGAGAAGATAAACGCCCTGACTATTGTATGAAGAGCCCACACCAAGAGGGCGGGGGTTCCTTAATCTAACCACAGCCCGCCTATTAGTCAATCATAAAGGGCTTCTCTCTGCTGGTTATCCCTCTGCAACAGGGAACAGCAATCATCTTCCCAGGATGACCAGATACAAAAAGGATAGTTGTGTTTAAATGGGGGGGAGAGAAACCAAAAGGTCTTCAGCAAATTCAGCTTTTGTGATTCCGGCATGAATAACTACAGCTACCAAATACTAGGAGTGTTTGATTTCTATGCTTGCAAATACTGACTGACTACAACTCCTAGTAGCCCTAGCTAGTACAGCTAGTGGTGGATGATGGAGCAGTCTCGCAATACCTGAAGAAGCACAAATTGCCCACAGTTGAATTAAAAGCAGAGAAGCCCTGCCCTCTTCTCCAAGCTTTTTCTTTTCTTCGCTGCCGCTGCAAAAAGGTGAGGAAGGAGAACTTTCCAAGACCTTAAGCCAAGCGGCCCAGAAAGTTCCATCTAATCCAACGCCACTACCTTGGGAGGCCCTTCCTAGAACTACAGAGGAGGGATTTGATCAAGCACTTCCCATGTACAAGCAAGGATGTTTCTTCTCTCTTTGAGAAGCAAGAGGTCTCTCTACCCAGCACCATCAGCCCATACTTACAGTTAGGGAAGTAAAGGTCAGGCAGATCCCACCAAAGCCATTCAGGGAAAGGCCGAGAAAAATCAATGGGGAAAGGACTGGGAAGACAGAACAAAAATGTGAGGTGAACAGATAGGCGAGGATGATCATGAGGAAAATGGGGGTTGGGGGTGGCAGTTTATGACAGTAAAGAATAAAAGAACAACATGGAGGCCTGAGCTGAAGCTGGAGAACCCCATGCGAGATTTCTAAGGGAAGGGATGGGTCAGGATAAAGGTTATCACCCCATCTCTCACACACCTCTACATTCCCAGCCCGCCATAGGGGAAAGCAAGGAGTCTCACATGCTCCTGCAGGTGGAAGGGGAGGGGGCCAGTGGGGCCCAAAGAGTGTCAGAATTAGTGACGCCACAGAGGCAGACCCTTTCCAGCTGCAGGACTGTGAGGCAGAAGGGAATCTCTAGGCTGGGCAACCCTACAGAGACAAATCTGAGGGACAATCTGAGTACCCAATTCAGACAGAGGAGTGGTTCCCACCTGGTGGCTTGTACGCAGCAAGGGCCATGAGAGCACAGGAAAGGGCAAAGCTGGCACTGTGAAGAAAGCAACAGAGACATCAGAGCAACGTAGGTCTACGTCATGTCCTCAAAGAGATACCTCACAACAATCACGTTGGGAAATCCTACCCAACCCATTCATACCTCCCCACCCCACCCAAGCCATTTTGTGTCCTCACTCCGTCTCCATCCATCCAGTGGATGGCACTCTCTAGTTAGCTATTTTCTACAGGGCCAGCCCTGCCGTTAGGCAGAATGAGGCAACCCCATTCTCCCAGCTCGTCCTCTTGGACACTCTCTTTGCCCCACTCTGTATGCTACAAAATCTGCCTTTTTGCTGCCTAGCCTTGTCTGCTGATTCTCATGTGTCATTGTCAGTGACAAAAGAAAATTCAAGTGCCAATCAGCTTCTATAGGTGGTTTGGGGAGCTGGCACCATCTTAATTTATCTTAGGGTTACTGTATTGCTATTGGCTTTAATGTTTCTATTTTTGATTTTGTTTTCTGTTTTACGAATTGTAGCCCACCCAGAGTAGTGCTATGATACTAATGGGAACAGGATACCAACTGAACGTATGAATGAATAAACAAACAAACAAACAATTTCAGGTTGCAAAATATCTCGGACCGGTTGTGACTCTCCAAAACCCTTTTCATTTCCTTCAGAACAGGAATCTGTTTCCCAGCATCCAGAGACAATTTCTCCCTTCCTGAGTACTCTTTGACTCGAGGGCTAGTCTCGACCGGTTCAACCCAATTCATACCTTCCGACCAGGCGAAGCGGCCGGGGGCCCAGCCGGTCCATTAATATCCCAAGAGGCAAGGTGGCGGCACTCAGCAGAAACGATCCAATGGTGAAACCCAGGTTGAGCATTTCCTCCTGCAGCACGCAGCTGGGCCAAGGGTGAGACACGTTAGCCACAGCCAAGTCACTGGTGTTGTTCTTGTCTGAAAGGCACAAGATAAGCCCGATCAGCCACCCCCTTCCCTTTGTATCACAAGCCTGGCTTCCTTACCCTCTTCCTGTTGCAAAAAGACTGCTTTGCACCCATAAGGAACCCATGTAGGGCCCGTTGGCTTTCCCCTTCCCCTCGCCTTCCACCCTGGTGTGTTGAACAAAAATGCTCGGAAGAAACAGGGTAGGAAACATTCCCAGGGATAAATTGGTTTGTTTGCTATATGGCAATCCTGGAGCAGCATCAAAAGAAGGAATCTGTCCAAAATAAGGAACTACAGGAGTAACACTATAGTGGTAAGTTTGGAAGTGCAAGTTTCACGATAGTCTCCATTGTCAGTCCCTGCCGTAAGAAGAGTTCAAAAACTACAGGCAGTTGGACTGGTCTCTTATCAACACCATGAGGACCAGGTATTTTGTAAAGTTAGTGACTCTTAATTGTCCATTCAAGACCAGGCCATTGTATTACAGCATAGATAGCATGTGGAAATCCATTGTGAGATGCTTTGAGTCCCTTTCTAAGAAGAGGCCTACAAATGAGACCAAACAAGCAAATACCCTGTTGTGAGGAAAATCCACATCTTTCCTAGCTATTACACAGGTTGCAGCCAAGCTCAGAGGCAACAGAGAAGCCTGAGGGGAGCTGGGAAATAATGTCATAGTCTCTCCCACTTAAAAAGTCCCAGGGCTTCAACACTGTAAGCTCTGGCCCCGTTGCATAGAATGAAATGTTGCACAGGAGGAAAAGAGATGTCCCTGGGTCAAGACTTGCTAGGAAATGTTAGTTCTGACCTATGGTGACCCTCCAGGCTTTTCTAGGTATAAAGTATTCGGAGGTAGTCTGGGACTGCAATGGTGTCAGGGCACATAACCCCATCAGCCACACATTCTCCTGATGATCCCAGATAACCCCTCTTCTAGGAGGCACAGAATTTCCAGCCATTTAACCACAATTTATAATAAGAGGAAGTCTTTTAAAGCTCCCCACCCCCTAGGAATAGTAAAATAAGAAAACTATCTGCTTGTGAATGACCTTGGGAAAGAAGCTGCTGATCTGAGTTTACCAATTTACCTGGAGCAGTGCTCCACAAGGAAAATAGTGAAAGAGCAGAGTGTCTTTACTGAGGGTTGGTCTACCAGCATGTTCAGAATACAACTCCTTACACCAGCTACCACTGCCATAACAAGCAGTAATGGTTACCCTGTTTTACTTCCACAACATCTATTTATTTCATGCTATTTAACTCCTGTTCTTTATAAAAAAAATCCCAGACAAGTAGCCTTGAATAAGATTAAAACTGCCAGCAATACATTACAATAAATAAACACCCAGGACTGGATGTGACAGACGTTCACTGCTCAGGAATGTCTGGGTAAGAAAGATAGATCTTCACCTTTGCCAAATGTTTAATCGAGTTGGCACTAGGGGTAGAAGGTATGCCAAAATGAGAAGGCCCCCATGAAGAGGTCCATACCATATGCTAGAATATCCCTTCCACATGGAGACTCTCACCTGAACCACCAGAGTCTAGTGGGGGAATGTTACACGATATGAACCCTCCTGGCTAAGGTATCCTGGGATTTGCAATCCAAAAACAGTCACTCTTTCAGCTTTGTATGAAAGCCTAATGAGATGACTGGCACTATGTTTTATGCTGGCAGAAATGGCAAGACGTTGTGCCAAAATTGGTTCAAGCAAGCTCTGGGTGATCAATCCAATATGCCCACCTTACGTGACTACAGCTATTCCATTCTATTTTCTCTGTCATGTACATCCCAACAAGGCCACATCTTTGGAAAACCCCACCTGAATGAAGTGTCCTTGCAGCAGAGTCTAACATCAGACCCACCAAGGGTGAAGCTTACGTGCCCAGCAAGTCTCTCTCTTGCTAACTTACAGACAGAATGTGTTACTTTTTTTAGGCCACAGGGCCCCCAAACACCTCAGCTAGCATGCCCAACCGCCACACCTTTAATATCTTCTGAGAATGGTAATTCCCTGAAAAATAACATTTTCCGAATATGTGCTTTCCTTTCAGTAACAGGTTTCTTTTCCCCCTACACAAAGCTAATCAGGCCAGCACAAAAGTCTCTGTCAGACTCCGTTTTAACTCTGCTCTCCACTCCCACCAAGCCCCACTGCCAGAACAAATCTGACCAGTTTGGAAAAAGGGAGAAATATCCTGATGACCCCAGGTTGATTGTGTACCTCAGCAGAGCAGAAAGCAAGGGAGGGGCTGTGACAGAACATTCTGGAAACACTGGAGAGGAAAGACTCCGCTCATGTGACCATCTGAGGCTCACTTCATCCTTCACCCACCCCTTCCGACTCTCTTCTTTTTCACCACCCAAACCCTTTGGCCCAGCCTTCCTTGTCTCAACATTGCTGGCTACCCACAGGATTCCTGTTCTCACCTAGGCACAGATGGGAGTAGAAACCTTCATGTTTGAGCATGATGAGCAAAGAGCCCCAGCCCAGCAGCACAGCTGAGAAGAACAGATTTTCCACCACAGCTGTACAAGCCATCCACCAGCGTCGGCGGTAGGCCTGCTGCAGGGTCGGCGCCATCTTCTCTCTGGTGTGGAGGCCAAGCTGGAAAACAGAAGGAAAATCCTTGTCACCTTTCCCGAGCACCAGCTTTCCTCATACCCACAGGCACAAAGACCAACAAGGCTAACCAATGTACTTTGTGTTCTCTGCAAGAAGCAGCAACCAGACACAAGTCTGATCAAAAAATCATAGATAACAGGAAAGTAATTGGATGCCGAGCAGAACATCAGCAATCCTACAGGATTAGGAAGTGACAAAAATATTACTGATAATCCAGCCGCCAGGGGTCGAGAGGGGAACACTTGTGTTAATTGCACTCTATCAGCACCAGTTCTGGGGCAGCACGTGCAATATACAGTGGTGCCCCGCATAGTGACAATAATCCGTGCAGCAAAAATCACTGCAAAGCGATTTCGTCACTATGCGAAAATAAAAAGCCCATAAGAATGCATTAAAACCTGTTTAATGCGTTCCTATGGGCTTCAGACTCACCTTAAAGCGAAAATCCTCCATGTGGCAGCCATTTTCGCTGCCCGGTAAGCGAGGAATCCGGGTGAAAACACAGCGGGCGGCCATTTTTTTTTACCCTGTGGCCAGTTTGGAACCACCGATCAGCTGTTGGGCAAACATCGCTATGCGGTAATCAGTAAGCAAAACAGCAAACCAATCGTTGCAAAGCGATTTTTTTCCATTAAAAACATCGCAATGCGATCGCTTTTGCGATATCAAAATCTTCATCGCTATGCGGATTCATCATTAAATGGGACGCCCGTTAAGCGAGGCACCACTGTAATACAGAAAGGCAGAATAGACATCCTGCACCTTTTTTATATTCAACAGTGGGATCAGGAAATGAAGGGGTAAGTTGTTGCTGATGCAGAGTATACAGCCTGTGAAGTGACACACAGACATCCTGGCCAGAAGACCAACAGCTGCTGGGGTTTTGCCCCCCCCCATGAGAACTCAACCACACTGCCATTTGTATTGTGGCTACTACTGAAGGGGGCGGGGAGGACAACCCAGCAGCAAACAGAGGGCTAAGACCAACAATGGAGAGGGAGGCTACAACAACCCCGCCCAGAAAGGACAAGCACAAGAACTGGCATCACCTGCTCTCTGAGTCACTATACCTTTTGTCCCACCCAGCCCCTTTTTTCTGCTTTAAAGACATGTGAAGGTTCAAGAATATATAGTAGGTAATGCCACTTAGAAGTGTATGGATAGAGCAGATGGACTGACGGTACATCACATTAAATGGCAAAACCAAAAGCTCCCCAGTGTTACCTTCTGAGTAACATTTGGGAAAATTCAGCTTCCCAACAGCAAGAATACTTCACTGAACGAAGACCCCTTGACTCCCCACAAGACCCCTTAGCCCATACATTCTGTGAACTTAAGCCCATGGTCATCAGCTAGGTGTGTCTATTTGAGTCCATCACTGAAATATTTCATATTCAAGCATCCCTTGTGGGGAGCCACTGCAGCATCAGGTTGGGATGTCAGACCAAGACTCGGGATATTCTCCAGGAAGGGCAAGTGGCTCTAGAGGCCAGAGAACAATTTTGCCCCCAGGACCTGCTGAAAGCAGCAGCCCCTTCCAAATTTTTAATGAAATTTTAATCATTTCAGGTTTTTTAAAAACCAGAAATGAAAATTTACTTTGAAATGACACTGAGGTGTGATACTAAAACAAAGCACAGAGGCATGTTGTAAAGGCAGATATCAGTCTTAATAGGTTTTCAGGAGGACAGGGTCTCCCTTTTTCCTACCCAGGAAAAAAAAGGGGGGGGTGAGGAATGTATGCACTCAGCTTCCATTCCAGGTGATTTCCAACTGGATGTGTCATCCGATAAAAGACTTTAAATGTGAAACAGGATGTCTCCAGCTCAGATCTCACCTCTGCTATAAACTTACTACATTGGCAAATCTATATCTCTGCCACAGCTGTTCTCTATAACAGGCTGTTCTCACAGTTATTGGGACAAAGTACCTCCAGTACTTTAAACAAGGGGGAATTGCTATGCAAAAGCCCACGTCTTTATTAGTTGCAAAGGAAAGCTTGAAAACAGAAAGTGCCTCCACAAAGCACAAGCCTGATCGATCAGGATTGTGGAACCTTACCCTTTCTCGTAAGGGCTCTAAGGGTTACGCCGACCTCCTGCGTCCTGAAGCCAGCCTTTGGATTTTGAACAACTGGGGTCTTCCCGTTCCTCAGGCAGGGGACAGGCCTTGTCCGATGTAATTGTTTCTGAAAATGAGGCAGAAAGGGAAGTAAATAGCCTGGAAGTGAAATTCAGAGATGACATAAATACAATGGCCTTTGTAAACAAGCACAGTCCGGGAGAATGAGGACAAGTACAGTAGGAGAAACAAGGAAAAGTGGCAGAAAACAACACCATGTGATTAAGCCTGGAAGCTTTTCTTTAAAGGAAGGAGCAAAGGAGCCTTAAACACAGATGTTGCCGGTGGGATACAATCCCAGAAAACAGCTGTTGCCTAAAACACCTGGGAAGCCACCATGTCAGACCATGTTGTCAAACACAGAGAGCACTGTAGAAAATTTTAAAAAGAGGAGCTCTCCTGTTCAATAGAACAAGGGCACTCAGACGAAGAGGGTTAGTTTTCCAGAGTTTGGAAAAGTTACTTTTTTGGGAGCATATTTTCCAGAATCTGCCAGGCAGCAGTCTCTCATATGATATAGAAAGGAATCCTACATAAAGAAAACCTACCTCCCTGACTCACCCAGTGATGTTACAGGAACAGATATTTCCGCAGGCTAATATGTTATCAATGTACTATGTACTATAGTTGCTAGGGATGGATTAGGACTCAGGAGACCTGGGTTGAAATTCCCATTTGGCCTTAGAAGCTCACTAGGGGAGTGAGTGGAATTGGTAAAGCCTTGAAAGCACTAGAAGAGTCACACACCACCTTCATTCTGACTTGATGGCACGCAACACACAATGTGCTTACTGTGATGTGAAGGGAGGAAAACCAGACAGTTGGAAATTTCATTTTACGAGGCAACAGAAAGGCTAGAAGCCTTCCGGGCAGCATTTGTTAGCATCTAATAAGTGAAATCAGATTAACATCTCATAGGGACATCCGCCGGATATACAATTCTCTCCTGGCAGGTATCTCTAGTCTGGTCCCCCTTGGCATCTACTCTCTCTAGCTTAAAAAAAGGCTACAAGAAAAAAAGGGGGGGGAGCCCATACATTCTGTGAAATTCATCTGATTGGATTTTTCGCTGTATATTTTTGGCTATAAACATTACAACAAGGTTGCAGAAGGGTTTTCCAAGCCCCGACTGTGACCTGAGCACAGGTATCTCAGCAAAGACGTGGGATGGGAAATCATCCCACCAAGACATCACAGAGGTCTTAATAGCCTCAGCAGACAAAACTTGACAGAAGGTTGCTGGACAGAACTGAGCAACTTAGCAGACTGTCAATTAGTAATTGGGCTGCGAGGCTATATATACTCCCCTGGAAGAAAGCCCCACTTAATTCAGTTGAATTGACTTCTGAGTAAAAGAAATGTCTTATCATTTCAGGCTTAATCTAGGTTACTCTCAGCACTCTGCAGGAGAGGAACTGGTGGGGGACACCCGGAGGATTTACTGCCTCTTGCACCAAACTTTGTGGGCAGTATCTGGAATTGGAGCTGGTAGGAGACACACACACACACACCCATATATCCTCCATCTTGGTTTCACTTCCCCCTGGTCTGAAGAGGCTCCTACCCACTCTCCTCAGACTGAAGAAGCTACTATACTTGGATGAGATGCAAAGCATTTCCACTGAATAAGAAAGAAGTCCAGTTGCCATGACTCCACTTCCAGATAACCTTGCCTGGATGACTGAGAATCTTCACAGATATTTTGTGGGCAGTACGGAACAACAATATCCTTGGGAAGTTGCTCATATCTTATCAGAGTCACAGACTGGGAGCAAGGAGGCAACAAACAGCAACAAGACCCTGTCTATGAGAGGCTGTGTTTTGCCACAGAAGAATAAAAAGCAACAGGTTCAGTTTAGATAAACTTTTTAATCCAACAGTGTCAAGCAGATGCATCCTACTGGTAAGAAGGGCTAGACAACAGAACAAGGCTGTCCGAGGAAGCGAACCTCTGTTCCAACTTAAGTCAAAATGATCCAGATGTTCCACTGGTGAGGGGGAAACAGGAGTGCCCCTAAGGGGATCCACACTTCCTCCTTACACAGCCTCCCTGTGCCTATTACTAACCAAACCACTTCTCCTTGTTTACCTAAAAGCCTGGGACTGGGCCCCTCACAAAAAAGGTGGAGGGAGCCCAGACCTCCCGCCCCCCCTCTGACAATTCAGGCACTGGGAGAGGATCGCTTCTCACCCAGGGACCCCACTGCTGCCTCGGGACCCCACTCCCGTTTACTGAACCCCTGGGGGGGGGTCTGGCAACCCAGAGACAAGTCCCTTCCACCTACCCCTCGTGGGAGCCAGCTGCTGACTTCTCCGCCGGGACGCCCCTGAACTCGGGCCCGGGAGGAGGGGAGAGGAGAGGCCGCGTTCAGAAGTCCCACGTCTCCCTCAGAGCCCCGCCGACCCCGTGATTCCAAGTGGCCATTCGGGGTCATTCGCTTTAACCCGCCGCCGCCCCCCCTCACCGCCTCATGCCACCCCACCCCTTG